TTCTAGGAACAAACGTTGCAAGCTTGGCGATCTCGGCAGAAAGAGCCATGTGTCTGCGAGTGCCCTCAAGCAGCTTCTGGACCAGATCAGGGAGATGGGTGAGCTTCCTGATGCCTACTCGTCTTCTAGCCAGCGTCGCCACCGACAAGACGTGGCCTTCCAGAGTACCAGACATGGGCCGTTGCTGCAACAGATACCAGTACTCTCGACAAAGGGAAATGAGTTGCGCATGACAGTGCAGCATCCGTTTGGGTTTCTGGAGGTTGCATGTCAGAAGTCCCCCGTGTTCAACGACTTTCTCAAGCAGAGGCTAGATGCTTCAGGCAATCGCCTGAGCATCATCTTGTGCAGTGACGAAATCACTCCTGGTGATGCGTTCAAGAGCCACAACAACAGCAAAATTCAGGCCTGCTACTGGAGTTTCCTGGAGGTCGGCTGGCCGTGCCTGGGGTCGGAGCTGGCCTGGTTTACTCTCATGGCGGCGAAGAGCGACGACGTCAACCAGCTGCCTGGGAACATGGCCCAAGTCTTCAAACTGATATTGAAACTGTTCCTCGGTAGGCCGACTGGGCCAGATCTGCGGGACGGAATCGAGCTACAACTGGCAGATGAGAAGTTTCCTCGTTTGGTATCTGGAGATTTGAAGCTCTGCGTGCAAGACGAGCGCGCGCACAAGTTTGCGCATGCCGTCAAGGGCAGCGGCCGCCACAAAATCTGTGCTCTGTGCATGAACGTCGTGTCCCACAAGTGCCCGTACTTGGACCACAACGCCAATGGGTTCTTGTGCAGCGCTGCGAGCTACGACGTCAGCCAATTCAAGATGCACACCGACGAGACGGTTCGGCTCTGGCAGCGGCGTTTGGCCGAGATCGCTGCTACTGGCGACAAGGGGCGACTGGAGGACGTGCAGACACAGGTGGGCTACAACTATTGCCCCGAGAGCGATCTTCAAGACGAACACCTCTCGTGCAACCTGGTCAGTATTTGGTGCTATGACTGGCTCCACGTTTACTGCGTAGACGGCGTCCTAGTCACTGAGATGCGAGAGCCGTTTACCAGGCTTGGCGAGAAGAGAACCAAGTTGGGCACGGATAAGCTAGATGTCTACTTCGGGCACTGGGCCTGGCCATCTGCTTATGCGAGTGCGAAGGACTTGTGCCGAGATGGGAACGGCCCCTCAGGTAGCGCGTCTGAGCTCCTGTCTGCAGCTCAACTCATTGCGAAGTTTTTAAGAGACGTTGCTTTGAAGAACCCTGCAGTTGTTGAGCACTACCTGGCGGAGGTCAGGAGCGCTTTAGCGTTGTGCGATGTGATGGAGCTCTTGATGGTAATCCATTCGGGGGCCGTCACTGCTGGTCAGCTCGGCAATGCGATCGTTCATCATTTGAAGCTCCATCAGGAGGCGTATCAACTTTCTCTTTGGAAGCCGAAGGCTCACATGGCATTGCACTTGCCCCGTCAACTAGCCTTGCACAAGTGTCTCCTCTCGACCTTTCTTCTCGAGCGGAAGCACAGGCTTCTGAAGCGATTCGCTTCGGACAGGTGCACGTTGACATCATTTGGCCGCGGTCTCATGGAAGAGACCACGGTCCAACACCTTTTCGATTTGAAAGACCCCCTCGGCAAAGATTTCCTAGTCGATCCGATCCCCCCAAAGCCAGCGTTCCTGAAAATTATGCAGGAGTGTGGCTTGATTTGGGGGGCAACCGATGTCGTCACGGCTCGGGCGGCCTACATCTCGTGCAGGGAAGTTCGAATGAATGATGTTGTTGCTTTCAAGACTGAGCTAGGCACGGTCAGTTTCGGCAGAGTTCTTTTCCACGCCCGCATAAAGGGTGAACACGTGTCCGCCATCTCGGCGTGGCATGTGATCGAGTCCACTAATGAAGTTGTGAAATGCGTTGTTCGTGAGGAGGTCCCCCGGATCAAGACGACCTCTTCCATTCTTGAAGCTTGCGTTTTTCAGAAGGCCGATGTTGGGCACATCGCCAGCGTTCTGCTTCCCCCGAAGCTCAAGCATGTCGGGGCGTAGGTAAGGAGAATGGGAAAGGGGAGTGAAGGGAGGTTGGATGGGACATCGAGCTGCAGCCCGCTTGGATGGGGCTCCGCGTGTTGCACTGCAGGAAAAGAGTTTCATCCGCTGGTTTGCGCCGAGTCCGCCAACCCCTGAGGCATATATACGATGGCATTCGCCACATCCGCCAACCCTTTTTGGGCGGTGCTTTTAGCAAATCCTCTGCCTCCCTCTTCTCCTCTCCTCCTCCTGCTCCTCCTCCTCCTCCTCCTCCTCCTCCTCCTCCTCCCACCCCTCTTCCTCCTTCTCCTCCTCCTCCACTTCCCCTCTCGTCCCCCGTCCTGGAGACTCTTGGTTTCCGCTGCTAACCCACTTAGCCCACTTAGCTAAGTGGGTTAGCTAACCGCAGCTAACTGCCTAGGCCAGTTAGCTAACCGAGTTAGCACGCACTTGCTAACTACTCCACAACCGACTTAGTAACCGCCTCACTAAGTGGTGGAGTAACTGCTTGCTAACACGCTCAACCACTTGCTATCTGGCCTATGCAGTTGCTAACCGACGTGACGCGCCCAGCAGGGCGTTCTGAAACCCGCTATTTCCACGCCCTCAAACTAAGATCCGGTCGCTACCGAAATTCGGGGTGCGTCGAAATCGCTACCGAAAATCTCCGGTACCAGACCACCGGGCCTGGGCGGGCTGGACCCGGACCCGGCATCGGCCCGGACCCAGCCCAGACCCTGTCCGGGCCCGGCCCGGACCGGCGACGCGGCCCGGACTCGGCCCGGACCTGGCATTCGCTTTCCCCGCCCCAGTCCTTGTCAACACCGCTATCCAAAAATTTATGTTTATGGCGTTCCTTCTTTTTCTTATTATTTATATTGTTCTTATTATTATTATTATATAATTACTACTATTATTACTAGTATTAGTATTATTATTGTTGTTGTTGTTATTATTATTATTATTATTATTTAAAATATTCCTATTCTTACTACTGTTAGTATTATTATTCATATGTTTTTGGTGTATGTTTCTTCTTCTTGTTCTCGGAACTGGCCGCGGTGCCCGATACGTCATCCACACCAGCCTGGATCTCAGCGCTTCCCGAACGACCACCAACCCCCGTCCGCGTTTGTCCTCCTCGTGCCCGCGTCCCAGGGGTGGGAGGGGCACGGCCCACGGGGCGCGCGCGCCGTGGCCGAGCAGGCCCCAGGACGAGGAAGTCGTGAGGGAGCCGCCAAAGGGGCGGCGGAGGGCGCCGGCCTGGGCGGAAGAGGGTGCAGCGGCAGGGTAAGCACCACGCCCCTGCAGCAGTCGTGTCGTTAGCGTGCACTTCCTGCGGGGCCAGAACATATACACCACCACCACCACCGCCTCCCCAACCCCATCCTTCTCCCAGGAAAAAGGAGGGGAGGAGAAGGGCAGAAGAGGAAGGGGGAGTGGAGGTGGTGGTGTATTATGCATACACATGTGTATTATTGGGCCCCACACTTCCTGGTCCCTGCCATCGCCGTTGCCTGCTCTCGCCCCCTCTGCCCGCAGCCTTGTTGGCTGATGGGGGGGTCCCTTTCGCTGTGCTGCACGCCCAGAGATTTGCACTTATCGCGAGACGGTCTTGGAAGATTGTTGGCCGAGGGTGCCCCCTTTAGCTGTGCTGCTCGCCCAGCGATTTGTACTTCTCGCGAGACGGTCTTGGGAGACATGCTCATCTGTCCTCAGCGCTGACGTGTGCGCTGCAGCCCTGACCTCCCAGCGGCCACGCAGAGCTTATCGAGCAGACAGAAGGGATGGCAGGGCCAAACGCTCCTGCCTGCCTCCTTGTCTGGGCGGACAGGGCGGGGGGGCGGAGGAGGAGGAGGAGGAGGAGGAGGTGGAGGAGGAGGAGGAAGAGGAGGAGGAGGAGGAGGAGGAGGAGGAGGAGGAGGAGGAGGAAAGGGATCACGTTTTTCCCCAAGCAGTGTTTGCTCAAAGGGGCTCCTACTCGGTTCCCAGGATGTGGCTGCAGCCTCTGGGTTTTCGGCTCGCTCCCGCCCGTTGCACTGCCTCGTTGCGTTGTCGCCCTGTTGCTGACTGCGGTTGCCGGAAGATTCGGCTCGTTGCCGCCCCGTTCCTGGCTGCCGGTTGCGGCTTCTGAATGTTTCGGGGTTCGTTGTTCCTCGATGCCAGCCCTGTTGCTGCTATGCGTGCATCTCGTTGCGTTGAAAGGCTTCGCATTGCTTTGAATGGCGTTGCATTGCTTTTCATGGCAATCCTCGCTCGAGATCGCTTCGCATCGCTTCGCACTGTTTTTCGTTGCTTTGCATTGCTTTCCCCATTGCCGCCTGCATGGCTCTGTATAGCTTTGTATGGTTTTGCATGTCGCCGCATTGCTCTGCATGGTTTCGCATCGCTCTGCCTGGCTTTTATTGCGTTCCGTTGCACCGCGTACGTAGATGGCATATGAATTCACTGTGTTGGGCCAACGGTAGGATCATGTGTGCGCGCCTTTTTTTGGCATCGGAGGCCTCCAGATACCTCTTGCTGGTAGGACCCTCCCTGTTCTCATGTTCCATTTCCTTATTATCCTCACCTATTCTTCCTATCCTCCTCTTCCTCGGTCCCTCCTCCTCCTCTCCTCCTCCTGCTCCGCCTCACCCATCCGTATACTTATCATCGTCACTTCGTCTCGCAGTCGTGGTCGTCGTCGTCCTCTTCCTCCTCCGCCTCCTCCTCCTCATCGCCGTATCACGTCTTGCCAGCGCCGTCGTCGCCGTTCTCGCCGCAGGCGTCGCAGCCTCCGTCCTCGCCGTCGTCACCTCCTCGACGCCGTCGCCGCCCTCTCCGACCTCGCCGCCCTCGACGCCCTCGCCGCCGCCATCGCCGTCGCCGCCGTCGTCGTCGTCGTCGTCGTCGTCGTCGTCGTCGTCGTCGTCGTCGTCGCCGTCGTCGTCGTCGTCTTCACCGCCGCCGCCGCCGCCGCCGCCGTGCCGCCTCCGCTCCTGTGTAGGCCTGGTGGCCGCGCGGGCGGCGCTCGCCGCCCGGCGCGCGAGGCGCCTCGCGGCCCCGCCCCCGCGCCCGCCCCGCCGCGGCCGGCGGCCTTCCCGGGGGGCGGGGCGCGCCCCTTTGGCGCCGGGCGCCCCGTCCTCTCGGGAGGGAGCCCTGACTCCAGATCCGCCCTACTTAGGTTTTTTTTCCCATCTTAAAATTGCGTCGGGAATCCACCTATAAGAAGCCGAAAAAGTAGGGCGGAAATTCCTGCACCCAGCATATCGTGGGGCGGAAATCCACAGGAGCAGGGCGGGAGCAGCAACAGAACAGTAGGGCGGAAATTGGCATCCGCGGGGCTTGAGAAATAAGGCGGAAATTCCAAGCCCTACCTACGAATTTCCCCAAAGTAGGGCGGATCCGGAGTCAGGGCGCCCCTTTGGCGCTGGGCGCCCCGTCCTCTCGGGAGGGAGGGGGGGGGGTCTACACATCGCTCATTTCTCGCCGAGCGCGTTCCACTGCTCGCAACGGTGGATCCCCGCGGTGGGTCCAGGCCGTTTGCGAGTAGTTATACTCTGCGAGTAGTGGAACGCGCTCGTCTGATTTCCAAGTCCTCGAAAGTTCTTTGCTTCTTGGGGGGCCAGGATCCTTTCCTGTCTACTCGTGCTACCCTGGGCCTCTTCCTGGCCAGTGTGGGGGGGGCCAGGAACACGTAGAGGCGAGGCACAATCAGAAGCGAGCACGATTCGAAGCGAGCACGATCAGAAGTGAACGACGCGCGCGCGTAAGAGCGACCCTTCGCCGGACCGACCTTTTTTGCGGGCTCGCCGGGGTCCCCCGAGCACTGGCCCGCGCGGCCGCCCTTCGGCCCGCCCGCGGCCCCCGGAGGCCGCGCACCCGAGGTCGCTCCTGCCTGGGGTCGCTCCTGCATGCAGTCGAGGGAGGAGGAGGAGGAGGAGGAGGAGGAGGAGGAGGAGGAGGAGGAGGAGGAGGAGGAGGAGGAGGAGGGAGGAGAGGAGGAGGAGGAGGAGGAGGAGGAGGAGGAGGAGGAGGAGGAGGAGGAGAGAGAGGAGGAGGAGGAGGAGGAGGAGGAGGAGGAGGAGGAGGAGGAGGAGGGGAGGAGGAGGAGGAGGAGGAGGAGGAGGAGGAGGAGAGGAGGGAGGAGGAGGAGGAGGAGGAGGAGGAGGAGGAGGAGGAGGGAGGAGGAGGAGGAGGAGGAGGACGAGGACGACAAAATGTCGTTGAGGCGTAAATTCTGCTTGACCCGCCATGCGAAATGTAGCGGGAGCGCGATGCCTGAGTGTCGAGGAGCGGCATCTGAATACATTGTGAGGAAGTATCAGGCAGGAGCCGCGATCCGGTGGTGAGTTGCGAGGAAGTCCGAAGCGAGAGCGCGATTCTTCAATACATTGTGAGGAGGTATCAGGCAGGAGCCGCGATTCGGTGGTGAGTTGCGAGGAAGTCCGAAGCAAGAGCGCGATTCTTCAATACATTGTGAGGAAGTATCAGGCAGGAGCCGCGATTCGGTGGTGAGTTGCGAGGAAGTCTTAAGCGAGAGCGCGATTCTTTAATAACCTGAGAGGAAGTATCAGGCGGGAGCCGTTGTTGTTGTAAACCGGGTGCCAACGACACAGTTTGACCCTCAAGATTTTGCCTGATAAAAAACAGGGTGCGATCCCCGGGAAGGGCACTTCAATCAAAAAACAATGTGCACCGGACGGGGGGATCAACAATAACTATTCTTCAGAAATGAGAGTCCAACAACAACAACGGCTCCCGCCTGATATTTCCTCGCAATTACCTGAGGAATCGCGCTTTCGCTAGCAATTGATCCAAGAATCGCGCTCTCGCCTGTGACTTCTTAGCTATTCAGGCGCCAAGCCCTGGCCATTCAGGAATCACGCCCTCGCTTGGGACTTCTTCACAATTTACTTAGGAATCGCGCTCTCGCCTGAGATTTGTGGGCGAATTATGCAGGACACGCATTCGCGTAACACACGTGTTTTTCAATTGAAGTGCCCCTCCCGTTGCTCGCTGTGTTTTTACAGGGGAATGTCTTCCTGCTCAAATTGGGCCCCAGTTCCCCGGTTTACGAAAACAGCGGCTCCTGCTTGATAGTTCCGTGCAATGTATTGAAGAATCGCGCTCTCGCTAAGGACTTCCTTGCAATTTATCGCAGACTCGCGCTTTCGCCGGATACTTCCTCGCACTGTATCCTTGACGCTTCGCGTATCACCACCAGCTGTCGTGACCCGTAGCGCTCCTGACTCCGCTTGCGCCTTCTTGCGGACGCGACCGGAAAAAGTATCACCACCAGCCGGCGCGTTTAGTAGCTAATTAGGCCGTTACCGTGTCCCGGAACGCTTCTGACTCCGCTTGCGCTCTCGCTGGCGGACGCGACCGAAAAAAAAAGTATCACCACCAGCGCATCCAGAAACGATGCCCATGAGAGTTGACAAGGGGAGAGAGGAAGAGACACACATAGTCAAACAGCGAGGGAGCCTTGGGAGACTCCGTGGCCATCTCGAGCCGTCTTAAAGCGGTCTTGGAGCCGCTTGGAGCATCTTAGGAGCCATCTTGAGCCAGCTTGGGCCATCTGAGCCATCTTGGAGGTCATCTTGGGCTCTCTGAGGCCGCTCGGTGGCCTCTTGGGTGCTTCTCGGGTGCCTCTTGGAGCCCTTTTGGGGCCTCATGGGGCGCTCTTGGAGCCCTCTTGGGGACTTCTTCGGAGCCCTGGAGAGCCTCCTCGGGCCATTTTGGAGGCGGTCGGTCAAAAGAGGAGGGGGTAATCAAACTCGATTCCCCCCCCCACCACCCCCCTCGGAGGCCGCGATCCTCGTGAGGGATGTCCAACATTAGCCCTCCCAGGGGCCGACAAAGGACCCTCTGACACATAGGTCCCCTTCCCAAGAAACCTCATGGAGGGGAGGGGAGGGTTCCACTCCCCGAAGGGAAGAGAGGTTGTGGAAGGGGAAAGAGACTCTCGTTAGACCACCTGTCCCCCAAAGGGCTGGTGGGATTCGGGCGTCGCGCTTTCGACACTCAGGAATCGCGCTGTCGCTTGGGACTTCCTCGCAATTGATTCAGGCGCCGCGCCCTCGGCACTCAGGAGTCACGCTCTCGCTCTGGATTCCATCGCGGGATTTATTTTGGAATCGCGCTGTCGCTCAAGGCTTCCTCGCGAGCACTGCAGGACGCACGCTTCAGCAACCCGCATGCTTGACCTGGCCGCCTGGGCCCGCTTGGTAGGGTCTACGCGCCCGATCTGCCCGTCTGGTTTTGCCGCGTGTTTCCTGCTTCTAACTCCCCTCCTGCTACTCTGTCTCGCGCTCGATCCTCCTCTCTCCCCCTTGTCCCTTCCTTCCATCCTCTCTTCCCCTGCCTTGGGGGCTGCACGAAATACACGTTGCAGATAAGAAAGATATACCCCTAATGGGGATACGATCGAAGACGAAGAGGTTGGGTATCGAGGATTTGTGATGCACGTTTTGAATGGCACGTGAGCGGATAAGAGCGAACCGTACTACATTGGTTGTTGTCGCTGCTGCTGAGGTTGTTGTTGTGGTTGTTGCTGGTGTTGTTGCTAGTGTTAGTGTTGTTGCTATGGTTGTTGATGTGGTGGTTATTGTTGTTGTTAATGGTGGTGTTGTTGTTGTTGTTGTCGTTGCTAATGTTGTTGTTTATGTTTAGGTTGTTGTTGTTGTTGTTGTTGGTAGTGTTGGTAGTGTTGGTAGTGTTGCTGTTGTTGTTGTTGGTTGTGTGTGTGTGTGTTGCTGCTGCTGCTGTTGTTGTGGTTGTCCTCTCTCTGTGTGCTTGCATATGCACATGGGTAAATCTCATTGTATCGCCAGGACCCTTTTTATGTTTCTCTTCCTCTCAGTTGCTCTCGTTCTTTCTCTCTCTCTCTCTCTCGGCCGCTCTTTCTCATTCTCTCTCGCGCGCTTTCAGCTGTGCGCATCCCCCTGTGCGATCGGACTGAAGATACCAGGAGTATGCATTCACGTCCTGAGGACGCGGGCACATCCACATGCGTTTCGCTCTCCGCCGCTTCATGGGAGCATTACATGTTTGGGACGCTTCTTGAATGGGGTTGACCGATGCCCCTCGGCTGATGCCGGGAGAGGGTCGGAGGAAGTTGGCGGAAGTAAGTCGAGGGGACACTCGGTGACGCAAGCTGGGCAGAAGCTCAGTGGAAGCTTGCGGAATTGAAAGAAGATCCCCGCAAGAGAGGTCACAGCCGGCGTCCATTGGTCCGTAAGAGAGACAGAGAAAGAGAGAGAGAGAGAGAGAGAGAGAAAAAGAGAGAGAGAGAGAGAGAGCACGCCTGCCCCATCCCCATCTGGAGCCGCGTCGGACGGGAACGGTGCGCAGATCCTCCACGTCCCGTGGGACGACTTGCGCACGACTGCCTGTCCCCAGGAGGACGGGGTCGGAGCGCAGTGCCTGCTGGCTGGCTCCCCAGGCCGCCCAGAGCCTGCCATCTGGTGACGCGGCAGAAAGTCTGCCATCCTCCCCCCGCCCTCCCTCCCCTTCGCCCTTCGGCTCAAGCGGGGCCGCAGGGCGCCGCTGTGCGCAGAGCGGCGGGCGGCCAAGGGGAGGAGGAGGAGGAGGAGGAGGAGGAGGAGGAGGAGGAGGAGGAGGAGGAGGAGGACGAGGAGGATGAGGAGGAGGAGGAGGAGGGGAGAAGGAGAAGGAGGAGGTGGACGAGGAGGAGGGGGAGGAAGACGAGGAGGAGGAGGAGGAGGAGGAGGAGGACCAGTGGAAACCCACTAGTCACCAACGATGTTGGAATTGACCCTCCCTCCAGGCTCCGTCTGCACAGGCCCCTACAACGGTTCATGTCCATTGAAGGAACTGCCTCGTTGGAAGACAATAGTTTGAAGATCCTGAGGCGTGCCAAAACATTGTTCTCGGGATTTCGACGCCACGTATCAACCAGACTGCTGCGTCTGGACGATCCAGAATCGTGCCAGAACGTCATTTTGGAATTCGCCAGCAAATCAACGTAACTGCTGCGCCCGCATAATCCTGAACCCTTCCCAAACACCATTTCTGGTACGTTGACCATGGGACTCCGTGAAACTCTTGCAAATGTTTAAAACGAATGTGCGCGGCGCTAAGGCGAGAGCCACATGTTGAAAACCACCTGCCCTCAATCCGTGAAGCTCTTGCAAATGTTTAAAACGAATGTGCGCGGCGCTACGGCGAGAGCCACATATTGAAAACCACCCGCCCTCCATCTGTGAAGCTCTTGCACATGTTTAAAACGAATGTGCGCGGCGCTAAAGAGAGAACCACCTTTTGAAAACCACCCGCCCTCCATCTGTGAAGCTGCTGCCAATTTTTCAGCTTCAGAGACGTAAGTGGTGGGGACGCTTCAGGCGAAACGCCCAGCCCGCCCTAAAAACTGGCTTCGGGGTGCGACAGGGAGAAGTTATCCATAAGGAGAAGGAATGAAGGAGGAAGAGAAGGAGGAGGAGAAGGAAGAAGAGGCGGAGGAGGAGGAGTCGGAGGAAGAGGAGGAGGAACAGGAGGAAGACAAATGTCCGCAGTCCTGTCCCTTGGAGGAGGAGGAGGAGGAACAGGAGCAGGAGGAGGAGGGGAAGGAGGGAGGAGGAGGAGGAGGAGGAGGAGGACCAGGAGCAGCAGCAGCCTCGCGCGCTGGTCGGCGGGCGCGCATGGCCGCGGGGGCGGGCCATGTCTGACGCCCTCGGAGCGGTCTGCCGGTGCGTCTGCGGGGGGGGCGCCCGGCCAGAGGCCGCCAGCGGGCCGGGCTGCGACTTCGACGGCGTCCTTCCCGGCGCGGAGTGCGTGGAGCAGCTGCCCCTGCCGCTCTCGGCGGCGGAGGCCCTGTCCTTCCTGGACAGCCCGGAGCAGCCCCTGCGGGGAGAGCCCACAAAGACGGGGGAGCTCTGGCACCTGCAGGACTCGACTGCGCGCAAAAGTGCCCCTTCGCAGGAGTGGCCTCCGGTGGGCGGCCCACGGGGCCTCCTCGATCGCCGAGCGATGTGCGCAGCACCGGCTTCTGCGCGCGTCGTGTGGGCACCTTCGCGCCGCCCGCCTCCAGCGCCCCGCACCCGAGGCCACTCTTGCCCGGGGCCACTCATTGCGTGGAGCTCCAGGACGAGGAGAGGATCGGGCCCGTCACGTTCTCCCTGTATGTCAACGGCTACACCGTCGCCCAGGGCGACTCGGGCCGCACGGAGGTGGTGGCCCTCTCGCCCTTTGCGCTGGTTCGCAATTGCACGCTGGCCCCTCAGGTCGGGGCCTCGGCGCTGGCTGTGGACATCTCCGAGCTGAAGATATTCAAGCTCTCCTTCTACACCCGTAATTCGTGCACCTTCTACGGCGTCAAGGCCACGGGCTCGGCGGACGCGGACGCGGAGAGGCAGTCCTGGGTGCACGCCATCTCCACGGCCGTGCAGCTCGTGTCACAGTCCTTGTACCCACCCTTCCACATCTCGTGCCAGCCCCTGAAGTCGTCGGCCAGTACCGCGCGCAGGCTGATGGCGGGATACCTGTTGTACCACGAGGGGGAGCAGCTGATCACGGTGCTCTACTGCGAGCTGAGCTCGCACTGCAGCGCCAGCGGGTGCGCGCAGCTGGCCGTCTACCAGAGCGAGTGCTGCCAGCGGCGCGTGATGACGCTCAGCATCTCTGTGCAGACGAAGTGCGTCGAGAAGATCGGCATCAACTGCCCCTGCTTCGCCATCGACGAGCACAACTTCTCCGCGAGGACGTGCAGCGAGCGCAAGCTGTGGCTGAGGGCCGTCTCCAACCTGCGCGTGAAGCTGCAGAACGAGGCCCCGACGCCCTCCAGGGAGGAGCTTGCGCACTTCCGGGCGGCCATCGAGGAGCAGCCCTCTATCCGACATGCGATGCCTGGATTCTGTCCGTTCGGCGAGGGCATTGGGTAAGGAACCACTGGATGACGAAGGAACCCAGGATCTGGAAGCCGGTGGAACTCCGAACGCGGACTGGCCACGGATATGACCGCCGCCCGCATGAGACAAGGAGTCTCCCAGGGTCTGCAGCCTCCTGGGCACACTCCTCAACTTACCAGCCTCGAGCGTATCCCTATCCCTAAGACTGACACGCCACAAGGCGATGACAATCTTAGGGATTCGCCCTCCAAAAAATAAGGGAATCCCCAAGATTGGCATCGTGATGAGGGGGTGCCCAGCATAGGGATAGGGATATATTCCAGGCTGGTAATCAACGAGCGCCCCAGCCGTACACGGTCCCCCAAGTCCCGACCCTTCCCCCGGAGCCGGTCTTTTATCCCGAGCCGTCGTTCGACGGGCCCGGGCCCCGCGAGGGCTCCCCGAGGCGGACAGCGGCCAAGAGTTTCCCGTCGCGACGCCATGTGCGACGCGACCCTGACCTTCCAGGAGGGCTAAAAAATAGCACCCGACCTAAAAACCTATCCCAGAGCTATTCTACGTCTTGGTTTTAGGCTGTTTCGCTCAGTTGTTTTAGGTTTTTAGGCCTCCCGTGCTAAAAAAATAGCTCTCTGGAAGGTCAGGGATCTGCCAATGGGCGTCGGTGGCCGGGCCGGCCGAGCTCACGGCCCGGGGCCGAGAGCGCGGCGAGCGCCCGCGCGCCGCTCGGCCGGGCTCGGGCGGACCTCTGCCGGGGGGAGGGAGGCCCGGAGCTCCAGCGCAGGGAGGAGCTCTCCGGGGGAGGCGTGCGTGCTTTTGCCCTCTCTGTCGGCCTCGGCTCGGGGGGGGGGGGGCCCTCCCCCGGGCCCCGAGGCCGCCAAGAGCGCCTCGGGGTCAGGAGCTCCAGCGCACGGAGGAGCTCCAGCGCAGGGAGGAGCTCTCGGGGGAGGCGTGCGTTTTTCGGGGGCCACACGCGAACCCTACCCCTATACCCCCCAAGATTTCTGAGGGGGAGGGTGGGGTTGATTTCGCTCGGGAAACCCACCCTCCCCCGCAGAAATCGTGGGGGGCAGGGGTAGGGTTCGCATGTGGCCCCCTAGTTTTCGCCCTCTCTGTCGGCCTCGGCTTGGGGGGGGGGCCCTCCCCCGGGCCCCGAGGCGCCAGAAGCGCCTCGGGATCAGGAGCTGGGCCCTGGGGTGAAGTCGGGCCTGTCCCTCTGCAGGGGGAATGTTCAAACATAGTTTAAACAACATGCTCTGGGGACGATTTTTTGACTAGTTTTTTTGACTAGTTTGACTATTTGTTTTACTATTTGTTTTATTATTTAGATTGTATATTAGGGATTGTTTGACTATTTTTATGTTTCGTCCAGAATCGGTCTGTAGGGGGACAGGCCCGACTTAACCCTGGGGAGAGGGTCGGGATTTCTGAGGACCGCGCATTGGAAAGCTCACGGCATCGGATGTCTGGGAGAGGGTGGCGTGTGGCAGAGAGAGGTGGGCCAGGCCAGAGCCGTGCTGGGAGCTTAGCCGGGCCCCAACGCTGGGCTCAGTTTCCCACCACCCCACGGGAGGTGGGATCAGGGTACTGGCGTCTTCGGTGGAGCTTCCCGCGGGGCCACGATCCTCGTGACGGGCGTGCCGAAATGGCCAGAGGCCGCCATGCGAACCCTTCCACTGGGGCCTTCGGTGGAGCTACTTATGGGGCCACGATCCTCGTGAGGGGTGTGCCGAAATGGCCCGAGGCCGCCATGCAAGCCCTGCCACTGGCGCCTTCGGTGGAGCTCCCTACGGGGCCACGATCCTCGTGAGGGGTGTGCCGAAATGGCCCGACGCCGCCATGCGAACCCTGCCACTGGCGCCTTCGGTGGAAATCCCTATGAGGCCACGATCCTCGTGGGGTGTGTGCCCCAATGGCTCGGGGCCGCCATGCGAAACCTGCTACTGGCGCTTTCGGTGGAGGTCCCTATGGTGGGGCCACGATGCTCGTGGGGGGTGTGCCCCAATTGCCCGGGGCCGCCGTGCGAAACCTGCCAAATTGCCAGAGGCCGCCATGCGAACCCTGCCATTGGGGCCTTCGGTGGAGCTCCCTATGGGGCCACGATCCTCGTGTGGGGGGGGGGTGCCGACATGGCCCGGGGCCGCCATTCGAACCCTGCCACTGGCGCCTTCGGTGGAGGTCCCTATGGGGCCACGAAGCGTTGTACTGGGTGGGTGAAACGCAGGGAGGCGGGGGAGGAGGGAGGAGGGGGAAGAGGAGGGAGGAATGAGGGATGAGGGCGCGGGGACCGTCTCTTTCAAAACGAGTACCCAACACCACAGGATGGTTGGGAGAAACCAAGCGCGGAACCGCGGAAATGAGGACGCGTAGCCTGACATAGCATGGCGTTTCGACGTCCCCAAATGGGAGGCTTCTGCGGCCCAGAAATCAACGAATCGACGCCGAATGTGCAATCCGATGGTTTATTCGGGGGGGCATTCTCTAGATTTTGGAGCCGATCTGGAAGGACCGAAAACCATGCCGTGGCGTGGCGTTGGAAACCATGACGCCAGCGCTGCAGCAGGAGCACGATTCAGAACGAGCGGAAGCGCGGACATGAGGCCAGCGTTGCAGCGGGAGCACGATTCGGAACGAGCGGTAGCCCGAACATGAGGCCAGCGCCTCAGCGAGAACATAATGTCGAAATGAAGCATCGGCGCGGCAACGCGAAACTTGGGACGCGTAGCTTGACAGAACATGGCGTGGCGACGCCCCACTGTGGGGGGCTTCCGCACCCCGAAAATCAACGAATCGACACCGAATGTGTAATCACTTGCGATGGTTTGTTTTTTTTTGTATATTTTTTCAAATGTTGGAGCCTATTTGGGAGGACCTAAAACCATGCCGTGGCATGGCGCTGGAACTAATGACGCCAGCGCTGCAGTGGGAGCACGATTCAGAACGAGCGGAAGCGCAGAAATGAGGCCAGCGTTGCAGCGGGAACGCGATCCGGAACGAGCGGAAGCACGAACAAGCCCCGAGGAGGAGGAGGCGAAGGCGGAGGAGGAGGAGGAGGAGGAAGTGGATGATGATTATGATGAGGATGATGATGAGGAGGAGGAGGAGGAGAAGGAGGAGGGACCAGTGTAAACCCAAGGGTCATCAACGATGATGGAATGAACCCTCCATCCAAGCTCCCTCTTCACACGCCCCTACAACAGACCATTTCCATCGAGGGAACTGCCCCGTTTGAAGACAACCGTTTGAAGATCTTGAGGCATGTCAAAACATTGTTTTCGGGATTTCAACGCCACGTATCGACCTGACTGTTGCGTGTCGACGATCCGGATTCGTGCCATAACACCATTTTGAGGAATTCAACACATAACTGTTGCACCCACATAACCTTGAATCCTTCCGAAACACCATTACTCGCACGCTTTTCATGGGAACCCGTGAAATTCTTGCAATTTGTGTAAACGAATTCGCGCGGCGCTAAGGCGAGAACCACATTTTGAAAACCACCCGCCCTCAATGCGTGAAGCTCTTGCAAATTTGGAAAACGAATGTGCGCGGCGCTAAGGCGAGAGCCACATTTTGAAAACGACCCGCCCTCAATCCGTGAAGCTCTTGGCAGTTTTAAAGCGAATGTGCGCGGCGCTAAGGCGAGAGCCACATTTTGAAAACGATCCGCCCTCAATACGAGAAGCTGTTGCAACTTTTTACAACGAATGTGCGCGGCGCTAAAGCGAGAGCCACATTTTGAAAACCACCCGCCCTGAATCCGTGAAGCTGCTGCAACGGTTTAAAAAACGAATGTGCGCGGCGCTAAGGCGAGAGCCACATTTCGAAAACCACCCGCCTTCCATTTGTGAAGTTGTTCCCACTTTTTGACCTTCAGAGTCGTAAGTGGTGAGGAAGTCTCAGGCGAAACGCCCGGCCCGCCCTAACAACTGGCCTCGGGGTGCGACAGGGAGAAGTTATTTAAAAGGAGAAGGAATGGAGGAGGAAGGAGGAGGAGGAGGGAGGAGGAGAAGGACGAGGAGGAGGAGGAAGAGGAGGCGGAGGAGGAGGAGGCGGAGGAGGCAGAGGAGGAGGAGGAGGAGGAGGAGGAGGAGGAGGAGGAGGAGGGAGGAGGAGGAGGAGGAGAGGAGGAATTTTCAGGAATCACAGCCTTCGCGTAGCGAGATGGGAGGAGGAGGAGGAGGAGGAGGAGGAGGAGGAGGAGGAGGAGGAGGAGGAGGAGGGAGGAGGAGGAGGAGGAGGAGGGCGAGGAGGAGGAGGACAAGGGTAAACCCAAGGGTTATCAACGATGTCGGAACGAACCCTGCCTCCAAGCTCCCTCTTCACAGCCTCCTACAACGGTTCATCTCCACTGAGGGAAAAGCCTCGCCGGAATACAACCGCTTGAAGATTTCGAAGCATACCAATACATTGATTCGGGATTCCAACGCCACGTATCAACCTCATTGTTGCGTCTTGACGAGCCTGAACAGTACCAGAACGCCATTTCTGGGATTTCAACACCGCGTATCAACGTAACTGCTGCGCCCGCATAGTCCTCAATCTTTCCAGAACACCATTCCTCGTACGTTGGTCATGGGAATCCGTCAAACTCTTGCAACGTGTTAAAACGAATGTGCGCGGCTCTAAGGCGAGAGCCACATTTTGACAAGTAACCGCCCTCAATCCTTGAAACTGTTGCAACTATTGAAAATGAAGGTGCGCGGCGCTGAGGCGAGAGTCACGTTTTGATAACCACCCGCCCGCCATCTGTGAAACCATGGCCAATTGTAAAGCGTCAGGGTCATCAATGGTGAGGACGTCTCAGGCGAAACGCCCGGCCCACCCTAACAACTGGCCTCGGGGTGCGACAGGGATACGTTCTTAAAAATGAAAAGGAATGGAGGAGGAGGAGGAGGAGGAGGGATGATGATGATGATGATGATGATGATGATGATGATGATGATGATGATGATGAGGATGAGGATGAGGATGAGGATGAGGATGAGGATGAGGATGAGGATGAGGATGAGGATGAGGATGAGGATGAGGATGAGATGAGGAGAGGAGGAGGAGGAGGAGAAGGAGGAGGAGGAGGAGAAGAGGGAGGAGGAGGAGGAGGAGGAGGAGAGGAGGAGGAGGTGAAGAGGAGGGGAGGACGAGAAGGAGGAGGAGGAGGGAGGAGGAGGGGAGGAGGAGGAGGCGTCGGAGGAGGAGGAGGAGGAGGAGGCGGAGGAGGAGGCGCCCCCGACGGCCGGAGGAGCACGTGGCCTCGCTCCGTGACTCCCTGGGCGGCCCGGGTCGCCACGACCCCGTGCTGCAGGCCGTGCCGCGCAGCTGCCGGGCGGCGCGCGCCCCCTCGGGCGCACCGCCAGGCCGCGCGGCTGCAGGTGGGCGGCGGCGGCGGCGTTTTTTTTTTTTTTTTTTTTTTTTTTTTTTTTTTTTTTTTTTTTTTTTTTTTTTTTTTCTCTATTTTTTATATATTATTTTTTCACACATATATATATATATATAATTTTTCTTCGTGCTGATTCTCGCAAGCCTGCCCGCGTGTCAGATCAGGGAATGGTACCCATAGCTCTACCTTTCCCTAGTGTTTCTGTGTTTTGGGTCCTCCTGGCAGGCCCTCGTCGCCACCGCTGGACTCGCCTCGAGGTCCTAGACAGAACGCACCCCGGGAGAGGTCCAGGGAGTAGCAGTACCATTTGGTTTCCCCAGATTCTAGCAGGTCTGCTTGCGTGGCGCTCCTCCAGCAGATGTGGTCGGAGGATCGCGCCGCGTCGCCGACGCATCGGCGATGCGGCTCGATGTGGAGCCCAGCGTTCTCCACGCCAGCGTCGCCGATGCACCGCCGACGCCGCTGGGTTTTTTGTCCGAGGCATTCCAGGAAGGGCCTCGTCTTCGAAAGATCGAAAAGTTGGCATCGCTTCCTCGGCAGAAGGTGGCGGAGGGGCTGCGTGAGCCAGCGGAAGCCAGCGGAGGTCAAAGTTGCTCCCCCAAGAGACGGCAACATGTTGAGCGGCAGCACGGAAACGAGGCCAGTGCTGCAGCGCGGGAGCACGACTCGGAACGAGCGGAAGTGCGGAAATGAGACCAGCGTTGCAGCGGGAACACGATTCGGAACGACCGGAAGCCCGAAAAAGAGGCCAGCGCTTCAGCGGGAGCAACATTTTGAACAAAAGCCCAGCGAAAACCCATTTCCCGGGAATCCGGTGTGCAAAAAAACAGTACGCGGAGGGGGGCTGGATATCTTCCGGAAGTCATCAGGGGAGAGAGGAGAGTAGTATTCATATTGTGTAATTGTGGAGGAGGAGGAGGAGGATTTTTTGACATGAACTGCGAGGATGAAACGACTCTTTAGTCAGCCCTCGAAAATGGCTAAGAGCAGCGCCAACGGTCCAGGGCCATGCCCCCGTGGCGCGCGAAGTGCGCGAACAGGGAACGCAAGGAGACCGTGCTCCGCGCGCCCTGTCTGGGGTAGAGGGTGCGGGAGTCCGTGCTCCGACGCCCAACCTACCCACCACCTACTCCATAGGTGGCCGCTGGCGACGAGAGCAATTTTCTCTCCCCTTGGCGCCCTACGGGCAAACAAGGGTGGCGATCGGGCTGCTACCCGCCTGTTTTCCTGGGAAGGGGTCCCAGTGGCACAGGTTCCAAAAGAGGAGGAGGAGGAGGAGGAGGAGCAGGAGGAGGACGAGGTGGAGGATGAGGAGGAGGAGGAGGAGGAGGAGGAGGAGGAGGAGGAGGAGGAGGAGGAGGAGGAGGAGGAGGAGAGGGAGGAAGAGGAGGGGGAGGAGGAGGACGGCGAGATTTCCTTTGTCGACCTCATCGTAGCCGTTGCTGTCATCGTCGTCGTACCCGTCGTCAACTCGGATTCGCTCTCGCACACAGACGCTGACAACCAGACGCGCACAGCGAGAAGAGCATCACACACGCACACACAAACACACACAATGACACACCAACACACACACAAACACAAACACAAGCACAAGCACAAGCACAAGCACTAACACAAACACCAACACAACCACAAGCAGACGCACAAACACAACCACACACACATACAAACACAAGCACGCAAGCCCAACAACAAACCCAAGCACCAGCACAAACACAAACACACACACACAAGTATATCGACATTTAATACCTACTATGTATATACACTTTAATATATATATATATATATAGAGATATGTATATAGATATGTGTATTTGGGATTTCCGTGTCGGGAAACTTCTTCTGGCGACGGCGAAGGCGTCGGCGACGGCGCTGTTGACGACGCCGGCGATGAGAACAACGAGCGTCGACGACGTTGACGACGTGGAGGGTGGGGGGTAGGCGGGAGGTGGTGGAGATTGGCGGGGGGGGGGTCATCCTCGTGCTCTCGCCTGCTGCTGCTCCTGCCTACCCTGGCGCCCTCGCTGTTGCTCTCTCGGCTCTCCCCGCCCCTGCTCTCGCCTCGCCTCTCGCCGTCGCTCCCGCTCCTGCCCTCGGCTCCCTCTCTTCCCGCCTTCCCCGCTGCCCCCCCCTCCCCCTCCCGCCCTATCGGAACGACGGAGGGGGGAGGGGGGGGGAACAGGCGGGGGGGCGGTGGCTTGGGGAGGGAGGGGCAGGTCTGTTCACTCTTCTCGTCCTCTCCTCCTCCTCCTCCGCAGCCTCCGCCTCCTCCGCCTCCTCCTCCTCCTCCTTCTCCTCCCCCTCCTCCTCCTCCTCCCCCTCCCCCTCCTCCCCCTCCTCCTCCGCCTCCTCCTCCTCCGCCTCCTCCTCCTCCTCCTCTCCTTTTCCTCCTCCTGGCCCTCCCTCCCTCGCCGCCCGCCCCTCCTGGAAGGGGCGCGAGGGGCGCCGGGCGCTCCGGGATCGCGCGCCCCGCGCCGGCCAGGCGGCGCCTCCGCGGCGCTGCGGCCGCCGAGCGCCGAGGGGAGCTCGGGGGTCCTGGCGGCCTCGCCGGCGCCGGAGGCGGCGGCCTGCCAGGACGGGAACAGCGGGGCTCAAGCAGTGGCGCAGCGTCCCGGCTCGCCTGTAGCCCCACCAAGCAGTGTTCTAAGAACCTTTTTGTGGTTCCCACGAGATGTTCTCAGAACATTTCTGGCTGGGACTGTCATGTTGTATCACATCGGGTGAATGTTCTAAGAGCATTATTTCTGTTCTCAGAACATTTTTGGGTTCTAAGAACATTTCGTGGGACGGTCGGTCCCTGCTCAAACGGCGGGGCGGCCCTCCAGTCCCAGGGTTAAGTCGGGCCTGTCCCCCTACAGGGAGATTTTCGACGAACAGTAAAAAGAATCCCCACAATAGTCAAAACTCAGTAACAAACATAGTCTGAGGATTATGTTTGAGTATTTGTTGACCTTTTTGGGTTATTTTTGGCGTATTTTTTATTCTTCGTCGAAAATCCCCCTGTAGGGGGACACGCCCGACATAATCCTAGGGTTAAGTCGGGCCTGTCCCTCTACAGGGGGAGTATTCAAAGTATTAATATCATAGTCTGGGGAGGATGCTTTTTTACTATGTTTGGGCATTTTTGGAGTAGTTTTGGGATATTTTTTCAATTTTCGCCCAAAATCCCCCTGTAGGGGGACAGGCCCGACCTAATCCTAGGGGATACTTTGAGTAGGGCCGAGGGTCAGAGAGCGCCTTCCTTTGCAGGAACAAGATGGTCAAGCCCCTCACTGGTCAGGCCGAGGAAGATGTGCAACATCCAGCCGTTCGCTTGTGCCCAAAGCTCTGGCTTGACGCCAGGGGTTGTGCATTAATGTCAGCTTGACCGAGCAGGTTGCCTGCGCCTCTTGACGTCCGTTTGGGGTGTTCTGCAGACCTGACCCCCCAGCCTTACTCAAGGGATACTGGCCCCCCCCCGGCTTCGCCGTTGACAGCTCGAGTCCTTCCGCGTCGCTTGATGCTCCCGATGCTGCTCCTGCTCAGGATCTCTTGACACGTCCTCTTCCTCATCGCTCTTCCTCCCCCCCCGCTCCTGACCCTGCCGTCCTCCCTCTTATGTTTACTTATATGTATACATGTGTGTATAACAAAAATGTCTGCCCCTCCCCCTGCTCCCTGCCGCTGCCGCTGTTCCTCCTCTTGCCCTCCCCGCTGCACCTCCTGCGCGTGCCGCCCCCCTGGTCGAAGTCGTCGCCGTCCTCCTTGCCCCGCCTGGCCATGGCGGCGCCCAGGGGGATGGTCGGCCATGCGTTAGAGTGGCCCTTCGCCGGAATGACCTTACTGGTGCGGGCCCACAGGGGTCCATCGGAAGCTGTGCACGAGAGGCCACTCTTCCCTAGAGGGTCCCTGTTGCGTGCAGCCGAGGATGGGAGTCACTTGCATGTGCAGTGTTCGCGGGTACAGTATACTCGCCGAGGAGTGCGTTCGGCACTCGCACGTGTGCAGTACGTGCGGGTGGCCTTCATCCGATGCCCCTGTGCAGTGCCATTCATGCTGAAGAGCCCCTGGGGCGACAGTCCGCAGGAACACAGTCCTCCTCCTCCTCCTCCTCCTCCTCCTCCTCTTCCTCCTCCTCCTCCTCCTCCTCCTCCCTCCTTCCTCCTCCCTCCTTCCTCCTCCTCCTCCTCCTCCTCCTCCTCCTCCTTCCTCCTCCTCCTCCTCCTCCTCCTCCTCCTCCTCCTCCTCCTCCTCCACGCCTGGCACACGGAGCACATCGGCATCCGTGCAGGCCCGACAGCCCTTCCGATCGGGTGCTCCCTCGGCTCCGGGCAGGACGGCGGCACGGGCGGCAGCGCCGAGGCGCCCGCGCCCGGCGCCGAGAATCCCGCCGAGGGCCCCACTGCCGCGACGACGAGACGACGACGAGGACGACGAGGACGACGAGGAGGAAAAGGAGGAGGAGGAGGAGGAAGAGGAGGAGGATGATGATGATGATGACGATGATGATGATGATGATGATGATATGAGAGATGAGATGGAAGGAGGAGGAGGAGGAGGGGAGGAGGAGGAAGAGGAGGAGGAGGAGGGAGGGGGAGGAGGAGGAGGACGGCGACACAGCGGCGGTAGCGCCGAGGCGCCCGCGCCCGGCGCCGCTCCTCCCGCCGAGGGCCCCGCTTCGGCGGAGGCCCCCGCGCGCGGCCCGGGCCACGCGCCAGAAGACGCGCTGCCGGCCCTCGCCGCGCGCGGCGCGCCGCCAGCGCAGGCGGCGGGCGCCGCCTGCGGCCTGGGCGGCGGCGGCCTCGGCGCGGGGCCGCGGCCCGCGCGGGCCGCGGCCTGCGCCGAAGAGGCGCAGGGGCAAAGTTCTATGTCAGAGCGTGAATTACCTACCCCGCTTTCGCTTCCAGGCAAAACCAAGTCATACCACGCGCCTCCTCGTCAAGCGGCCTGACCAGTACAGGCCGTGGTTTGGCATCGCTTGGTATCTCTTGGAAGCGAGGGTCGTCAAAAGCGAGGTAGGTTTGTTTGCCCCCTACTATGGGCGCCCCCCTATAGATTTCAGTCGGGCGTGCCCCCCATACAGGGGGAATGTCGACGAAAAATAAAACATATGCAACAAACATAGTCTCAAGTGGCCCAGACATGCTACTTTTTCCACTTTTGAAGGTTCCTCCTGTATAGAGGGACGGGCCCGACTTCACCCTAGATGGGGTCCGAGTGGACGGGGTCGGAGGATCGCGCCACATCGCCGATGCACCAGCGGTGCATCGCCGATGCGGCGCGATGTGGGGCCCACCTTTCTCCACGCCGGCGTCGCCGGTGCATCGCTGACGTCGCCAGTGCAGCGCCGAGGCATCGGCGATGTGTCGGCGGTGCAGCGCCGACGTGTCGGCGATGCGGCGAGATCCTCCGACCCCATCCACGCGGACCCCATCTGTCTAGGAGGCCTCTAGGAGGCCTCTCTAAGATTCTGTCGGGCCTGTCCCTCTGCACGAGGAAGACTCAAACATGGTCTAGAAACAATCCGGGGACGGTTTGTTGAGCAGTTGTGAGCATATTTGGTTGCCTTTTCCGGCTATGTTTTGGGTTCGTCCAAAATCCGCTTGTAGGAGGACGCGCCCGACCCAACTCTAAGAGTGGCGAGGCCCTGGGAAAACGCCTGCGGCGGCCGGGCCATCTGCCCGGCCCTTCCCTCCGCCAGGTGGCCCGGAGAGCCCCCGGAGGGGAAGGCGGACCCGACACACGCTGCGGACGCTTCGGGGGCGCCCGAGTCTCGGGAGCGGGGGAGGGACGTGCGCGTGCATGAGTCCACGCTGGCTTCGAGAGCACGCGTGGCCCGAATGGTCGTGCCACGCGGCCAGTCTCGTGGATCGAGGGGCCGTGTTCGTGTACATGGCTGGGCGCGTGCGTGCTCGAGGGGCTGCCTGTGAGTCGGGCGCCCCGGGGAGGGGGGCACGGAGGCCCCAAGGTCAAGTCGGGCATGTCCTTCTACAGGAGGAAAATTCAAAAATAGTTTAAACATTGTCTGGGGACGTTTTTTTTTTTTATTATTTGTGGGCATTTCTTGACTATTTCTAATTTTTCGTCCAAGCTCCCCCTGTAGGGGGACACGCGCGACTTAACCCCAAGGTGCTCCGAAGTGGAGGGGGAGCAGGTGCGGTCGAGTCGGGTTGCAGCAGGTCGGCCCGGCCCGGTCAAGAGTGCCCTCGTGTCCGGAGTTTTTCGCGCACCGTGTCCTCCCCTGACCTTCCAGGAGGGCTGAGAAATGGCACCCGACTTAAAAACCTATCCCAAAGCTAGTCCACGTCTTGGTTTTAGGATGTTTCGTTCAGTGTTTTAGGTTTTTAGGCCTCCAGCGCTAAAACATAGCTCTCTGGAAGGTCGGGGTCTGCGCATTCCTGGGGCCATTCTTGGCCATCGGGAGGTGCTCGGGTCCTCTCGCGTGCCCTCCGCAATTACGTTCCAGCTGCCAGGTTCAAGTCCTCCTAGTCGTACTACTACTACTACTACTACTACTACTACTACTACTACTACTACTACTACTACTACTACTATTATAATACAACTATATTACTACTACTACTACTACTACTACTACTACTACTACTACCAACACTACGTATTAGTATTACTACTACTACTATTACTACTACTACTACTACTACTACTACTACTACTACTACTACTACTACTACTACTACTACTACGACTACTACGACTACTACGACTACTACGACTACTACTGCTACTACTGCACCTTGTAGGGATCTCCATCGGATCCCCATATGGCTCTTAAGAGACCCTGTAGGCATCTCTATAGGATCTCGATAGATTTCCTAGAGGAACCGTATAGGGATCTCTAGATTGTCTCCTTATAGGGTTCTTTAAGGGACTTTACTCTATAGATTTCTCTAGAGGGATCCTATCGGGTCTCAACAGGGTTCCTACAGTGATCAAATAGGGATCTCTATATTGTCTATAGGGTTCCTAAAGGGAATATATATATATATATATATATATATATATATAAGGATTTCTGTCGGATCTTTATAGGGTTCCTCAAGGAACCCTATAGGAGTATGCATAGGGTTTCTATGGGGTTTCTAAAGAGACCCTATCGGGGTTGTCCCTATAGAGTCTCTACATGGTCTTTATAGGGATCCTACAGGGGCCCTGCAGGGATCTCCATACGGTCTTTATAGGGATCTTACATGGACCCTCCAGGGATCTCTATAGGGTCTCTATAGGGATCCTAAAGAAGCCCACGATGATCTCTATAGGGTCTTTATAGGGTTCCCAACAAATCTTATAGGGATCTCTATAGGGTATTTATAAGGGTTCCCAACAAATCTTATAGGGATCTCTATCGTGTTTCCATATGGGGTCCCAGAGAGCCCGATATGGATCTCGATAGGGTCTCTGCAGGGATCTGAAAGAACCTTGTATGGATCTCGATATGGTCTCCATAAGGTTCCTAAAGAACCCTGTAGGGATCTCCATAGGGTCTCTATGGGGATCCTCAAGAACCCTGTCGGGATCTCTATAGGGTCTCTATAGGGATCCTAAGGAACCGCATAGGGATCCTAAAGGGACCC